GGGTTGGTAGCCATGGCGGGCCTGGGCCGGGAAGGGCGCGGGCCCGGCCGGCGGGCGCTCCTGGGAGGCGGCGGCTGCACCGGTCGCGCCGCCCGAGGGAGGCCAACGGGATGTTGTCACGGAACCAGCGGACGCAGAGCAACCCCGGAAGTGAAAGGGAACCGGGGGAAGGGAAGGAAGGAAGAGGCGGTGACAGCAGCCGCGAGGGTCCGACGACGGAAGCCGCGCGGGGTCAGTTCCGGCCGCCGCCGGCTTGGGCGCCCTCGAGAGGCCGCGCTGCGTCGGGAGCGGCTGCGACGAGGCCGGGCGGGCGGCGGCCGCGGGGTCGGAGCCAGGGGCCGGGGACTGGAGCGCACGGTGGCCGGGCGCTCGACCCGCGCGGCTCCCCGGGCCGGAGGGCCGACTGGGCGCCGGCTCGGGGCCGCACCGCGCGGTCAGCGAGGCGCTGGCGCGGCTCCATCGTCAGGGGCGCTTAGGCCTGACGCTGTTGCTCCGCTTGCACAGAGCAGTCGACAGCCGTAGACGTTCATAATGCAAACCGTGCGCCCAACCGCTGCTTCTAGACTCTCCCCACCGTCTTCGTTCTCCTGTGATCCTGTCCGGTTGTCCCGCAAGTAGGTGGCTCCAGCGGCCCGCAGTCTCTGCCCCTCCCGACCCCGTGCGTCCTGGGGCGCATCCCTCGCCCGTCTCGGAGTGTGCCTGCGGCCCAGAACCCGACCCCTCCGGCGCCTTCTTCGTGCCGGCCGAGACAAGCCCACAGGCTTTAGCCGTCGCTGACTGCTGAGGGCCGGCCATGCTTGTGTGGCACGCACTGTGCGCCAGGCATGGTGGTGGTGAGACCTTTCACGTGCATGAAGTCCTTCGGTCTTTGCAACGAGACTGTGCAAGGTGCTGCTTCTGTCCTCAACGGGCAAAGCAGGACACAGGCCCAGAGAGATTCAGTACGTTGCTGAAGGTTGCACGGGAAGGCAAATCGCCCGATCCTGGACTGAGTCTGTTCATTCGTACACGCTCAAAGCAAAATAAATGTTACAGATTTGCATAATTAGTAAGTAGATGTAAAATTGATTGGAAAATGCATCTCGGTGAAGCGGGATATTACTGCTTTTTAAAAATTCATATGTCGGTAGATGAAGATGTCTTATTGCTAGAAGGAGAAGGGTTGTACATCAGTTTATTCCTATGTCTAGTTTTTATAGCTGTATGCCCTTAGAAACCCTGTGTACTGTACCTGGCAACGTAGTTTTATCGTAGCAGTGTCACTCAATTCTTGATCTCAACATATTAGATTTGATGATCTGTGAGCTGGCTATTAAGGCCTGCCACTTTTGTTGAAAGCGAAGAGTTGAAAACCATCTGACTTGCCAAAGGATTTGTTTATCTAGTTCTATTCTTTCATTTTTTTTTTCAGTTTCTGGGAAATATACTAAATAGGTTTTATCAAGACATCAAATGACTGAATTAGACTCCCCCCCCCCCCCATGAGATGTACCATGTTAAACCCGATATACTCAAACTTTGGGGGAAATCTAAACATTCTTCATTTTCATTAATAGTTTTGGATAAATTGCTTTTTATTGTTAGCTGGTTCAATTTTGTTTTTGCCAAAACTTTGCAGCTCTTCGTACAGCTCATTTAGGGTGAAACTGTCAAGTATGAAAAATGTTTTTCATAGAACTTAATTAACAGAAGCGTGTTTTCATCATCAAACTAGCCAAATTGGATATTACTTTCCCTCAGAAGCAGTTTGACTTCATTGTTTCAATTCAAATAAAGTATCATGCATTTTGAGGGAGTATAATGAAAACTGCAGAGTCAAAGTCATGGAATGAATCTTAAAAGATTTATTACTAAAAGCAATCAAATTAAAATGGTGTAAGATATAATTGTTTTATTCATTTTAAAAATTAGTTATGAAAACAAGGTGAGAATATGACATGTTTCTCTTTACCTAATTACCAACAACATAATACAATATGTTGCTGAATGTATGTTATTTATTAAGTGTGTAGTATGGTAAAGGGCATGCTATTTTTTCAGTGCATATAGATGTATCAGATTTATTTGGCTTTTTGGGAATAAATAAATAAGAATCTTCCATAAAAATTCAGCAAAACTCCACAAATTGAATTAAGTGTAATGATCAAACTTAAAAAAATAATAATGAAACATTAAGGTATTTGCTGCTAAAAATTAATTGGTTCAGTGACTAGGAAATAATTTTATGTTTGTGAACAGCATATGGAAAATAGTAAAAATTTACTAAAAAATAATAAGTTGAGAATTGATTATAACATATAAATCACAATTGATTTTATAAAATGCACTTTAACTGCCTTATTGAATAACACATACTGAATCTAAAAGAAATAACATAATATTTGTATTTATGAGTTCAAGTTACACTGGGTATACATATACTGGATACAGTGTAACTTGAACAATTTAGTAACCTTAGAAAACAGTCTAGTTGCATTGAAAAGAATCAGGGTCACTGATCTGACTGTTGTGGCTGTTCAAAGGTGCTTTTCTTTATACTTGAAGACAGGTTCTAAGGATGAGTATTGCGAATACCTGGGCAGGGGGAATAAAATACATTTAAACCTTAAAAAAAAAAAAAGCGCTAGCTATTTAAAATCATTGTTTCCTACCAGTGATGTCTTTGCTTTGTTCTCTATTTCTTTGGAAACAGTAATATAATATTTGACAATAGTGAGGGTATGGAAGAGGTGAGTTCTTAAAAAACGATTACCGTTGCTCCCCTGCCCACTGTACGTATGTGTGAATTCAGAACATCCTAACAAGGAGTAAATACTTTTTTCCTGAACGTGATCGAGTTCTCATTGTATTTCCTAAGTCTGATGCTGAGGTGACAGTTGAAACGAACTTGACAAGCACTTTGGGAGTGGGTGGAACAGTGGTGGGGGATTACGGCAATCCCTGCGGTAGCCATTTGTATGCTTGGGCAACAGACTCCTGCCAAGCATCTGGCTCCTGTGATTTCCTTTCTTTTCTCCAGTCCAGCCTCCCCCCCCCCCCATCCAATCCAAACCCTGTTCCTGGCGGCTAATCTAATAAAAGGCAAACACTGGTTTACAATATGATGATCTAACCCCGGGGAAACCACCTGCTTATTAGGCACGTTGTTTGTTTTCTTTCCCTCACACCCGCCCGACCTCACCACTCCAGGGCATCCCTAAACCAAACCAGGCCATAGGCCCAGCCTTTCATAAGACGGATGAGGATCATTTTTCTAAATGACTCTTATCAATCCAAACCCGGTTCAACTTGGGAAGTTCACTTTTCTATAACAAAACACTCAGGCGGGGTTCAGAGCTTTCCATTAACACTGTAAGAGGCAAGGGAGCGGACAAGAGGCCTTACTGCCTTTCCAAAGCCAGCTCTGTGGTCTGAGCTAGTCTGTGTCTACTGTAGAATCACATAGCGGAAGAAGGTGGAGCTGTGGTTAGGCAGAGCATTATAGAATATTAATGTGGGAGAGGGATTGCTTTTTTTTCTGCAAGAACTTGAAAGAATTGCCACTTACTCTGGGGTCAGGACATGGGGATGAGGGGGTAGCACAGGGAAATGGTAGGGGGAGAGGGAGAGGGTTGGCTCTCTAACATTTGGCAGAGACCGGAAGCCCCTCATCCCTGCTAGTCTGCTGGCCCAAGAGGAAGGGTGCTTTGCAAATGGTAGCTGTGTGAGCGTGTTACCTGGAGGTGCTGCAGAGTTCCAGAGGGCGGGAGTCCTAGCTGGTGGGACACGGAAGCTGGGTATGGACAGCAAGGCAGCAGAAAAGGCACCAGAGAACTAGGGTTGGGTTTCATAAGCGCCCAGGATAGCAGAGCAGGAACCCCAGAGGAGGAGAGACAGTGTGATGGGGAAGGAGGCGGGGGAGGAAGGCTTTCTGGTGAAGCGGGACACACTTGTTCATACTGTGTGTAAAGGAGAGTCCGGTGTGGGTAATCGGGAAGGTTAGCAGTGGTTCTCAACCTTGAGCGCGCAGCAGAGTCTCTTTGGGGACTTGTTAAAACAGTGCTGGCCCCGTCCTCAGTGTTTCTGACTGGTAGGCCTGGGGCAGGGCCCGAGACAAGATTTTTAACAAATGCTGATGGGTCACCATTTGGAAAACGTTGGACTCGACTAAACTACACCCTACAGACCCAATCTGCTTTACCTGTTTTTATAAATAAAGTTTTATTGGAACATAGACACATCTATTGGGTCCGTTTAGTTTCCAGTCAGTCTATGGCCGCTTTTGCTGCAAGGACCGGGTTGAGACAGACTGTACGGCCGCAAAGCTGAGAGTATTTACCACGCGGCCCTTTATAGAGCACATGTGCCTTCCTTGGACTGAAAGGAGGCAGCAAAGGTGTGGTTGTGAGACCCTGGAGGTGGGCAGCCTGTATTTGAGAAAGTCTGTCTTTCACTAAATAACAAGCTCCTTTTCTCTGCCTAATGCTTAATTCACAGGGTTGCTGTAAGGACTAAGCCAGGTCGTGTAATGACCATGGCTTATCATATGCAGTGCAGATGAAAGAAAATGTAACGAATGGGTGGAGTTTGTTCAAAGAGAGAGGGGACGCTGTGCATGTTGAGGAGAGCAGGGGAAGGAGAAAGGGCAGAGTTCGCTTGTTGTCTCCAGTCATGCTGTGAATTGAGGCGGAAAACCGGGTCTCTAGTATGTACGGGGTGCACGCGATCTGTTCAGTAAATACTCATGTAATTCCATAAACGATGAGTTCAATAAGTGCTCATATGCTTATTTTATTTCTGTGAGAAATATTCTGTGATGCAGCCCATTAATTAATATTAAACTGCTACTTGGTGAAGAAATTGCTTTTGGTTTTGGGAGAAATGGT